TCAATTACAATTTACTTTCAATATAGTGGTTAGACAGTCATATAAATAGAGACAGTTTTAAGGGACAGATATTATGGCAAATAATTTTTCTCTAGATCTCTAGCACTCTACACAGTGCCCACCTTTAACCGGCACCCAGTAAATGCTTGTTGAATGAATGAATGAATGAATGAACAAACAAATGAAGTAATAGTCTACATGTGATCGTAAAATGACTACCTTAAGTTCAACAGTTGATCGAGGAAGCATTCTCTTCTCAGTCCTTAAAAAAGCACATGTAATCCTGTGGGGCCAAAAAGTGAGTCTACAATGATCTCTTCCTAAAAAAGATCTCAGAAGTAGAAAGCAGAACCACTGTCTTCTATGGATTTCACTTGTTTTAAAAAAGATGAAATTTAGTTTATAAGTTACTTCCAGTAAGTCAATCTTTTTTCTCCCCCTAAACTTATAATTATGAAGGGAAGTATAATAACATTTTACTGAGAAGAGATTTAGTAATTCTGGCAGTACTTCATTAATCACTTAATCAGTGTTCAAGCAGAACTGATGTCTTTGACACACGTAATCAATCTTGATTCCTCCCATATTTGATTTTCATCCTTTTTGAAGTCTAGCTACAGACACTAAGGATGGTGGTTTATTATCACATTATGTTTTGTTGCAGACAACCCATACATGCATATAATAAAAATCAGAGTATTGATACCTATATTGGGTCTCCTGATAGTCCATTTGAAAACTATTGTTTTCTCTTCAGTGAATTTATGGAGAGTAATGCTGCTAGGACTAGATTCTATTATAGCTTAATGGGAAAGTGGGCTTGGGTCATTTTTAGCTTGGCACAACATAGTATTCTTTTGAAAATGACATGTTTATTGTTATTGTTAAGCCAGAATTACTTGTTTTGACACATGCTGAAGAACTTTTCCAAAGTTACATTCTAAAGGCAGCTGTGGGCATGGAAAGGTAAGAGCAGCCCAAAACTGGGCAGCATGGGATTAAGTTTGTCTAATATCTTCTGCTTTGGAAAGGTACTTTTATGATCACAGGAGTGACTACAGAAGTTCTGATTCTATCACTCCTTTCTTCTTAACACTTCATAAGTCGGATGTTTAAAAACATTATTCACTCCAAATTTTAGTGATATTTAATTTCCATGTCCACTTACTCACAGGCTACACCCATCCATACATTGCTTGTTAACATCATGTATTTCTCTCTTTCCTATGAAAGAGCTGCAATATAGAATTTATAAATAGATAGTGTAAAAGATGAACAGATAAAGAATCTTAATTCGGAGTTGCACAGACATTTCAAGAATTTTGTTATCTGGTTGTGTGAAGAATATTGTCTTTTCCCTGAAAGGTGATATCATGGTATTTAAGGACTGTTTAAAACTAGTGAGTCTGCACCCACTGTATGCTATAGAAGCTAAAGTAAAAATGAGCGTTTATTGTAATGATGAAAGAAGAGAATTCTTTGCAGGATGCTCAGATTAGCACTCTACAGTATTCAACCAAATCTGTAGCTGGATCTACAGACTGAGAATCAGGAAGCCAGAGGGATAATAATATCAATAACAACAAGTGACATTTACTGAGGTCTTCCCATGCCAAGGTAGTGTGTGGTGTGCTTTGCATGGGTTTTTAATGGAAAACTCTTCTTCTTTAAATTAACCTTATTGGGGTGACATTGGTTAATAAAGTTATATAGGTTTCAAGTGTACGATTCTCTGATATATCATCTGTATATTGCATTGTGTGCCCACCATCCAAAGTCAAATCTCCTTCCATCACCATTTATTTGACATTTTTTACCTTTATTATCTCCCAACCCTCTTCTCTCTGGTAACCCCCATACTGTTGTCTGTGTCTGTGGGTTTTTGTTTGTTCACTTGTTGCTTTCAGTTTTATATCCCACATATGAGTGAAATCATATAGTTGTTGACATTTTCCATCTGACTTATTTTGCTTAGCATGATATTCTCAAGATTCACCCAGTGTTGCGAATTGCAAGTGGTAGTATTTCATCTTTTTTTATGGCTGAGTAGTATTCCATTGTATATATGTACCACATCTTCTTTATCCAATCCTCTGTCAAAAGATATCTTGGTTGTTTTCATGTCTTGGCCTCCATAAATAATATTACAATAAACATAGTGGTGCATATATCTTTGTGAATAAATGTTTTCAATTTTTTCGGATATATGCCCAGAAGAGGGACTTCTGGGTCATACGATAGCTCTATTCTTAATTTTTTGAGAAACCTCCATACGGTTTTCCACAGTGGCTGCAGCAGTTTACGTTTCTACCAGCAGAGAATGAGGGTTCCTTTGTCTCCACAACCTCTCCAAAACTTGTTATTACCTGTCCCATTGATAATAGCCTAACGGGTATGAAGTGTCATTTTGATTTGCACTTCCCTAATAGTAGTGAAGTTGAGCACCTTTTCCTATATCTGTTGGCCATTTGTATGTCTTCTTGGGAGAAGTGTCTGTTCAGGTCTTCTGCCCATTTTTTAATTGCATTATTTGTTTGGTGTTGCGTTGTATGAGTTCTTTATATATTTTGGATATTAACTCCTTGTCAGAGTTGTTCTTTGCAAATATCTTTTTGCATCTGGATGACTATTTGTTTTGTTTTGTTGGCAGTTTCTTTCTCTGTTCAGAAGCTTTTCATTTTGATATTGTCCCATTCATTTATTTTTACCTTTACTCCCCTGCCTTTGGGGTTAAATTCTTAAAATCCTCTCGAAGACCAAGGTTTGTAAGTTTAGTACCTATGTTTTCATCTACATAATTTATTGTTTATATGTAGGCCTTTGATCTAGTTTGAGTTAATTTTTGTGTATGAGGACAAAAGTAATCTATTTTTATTCTTTTGCATGTAGCTTTTAATGGAATACTCTTAACACCTAATGAGACCAGTATCGTACATATTTCCAGTTTACAGAGGAAGGGTGAGGCTCACAGAGATCAAGAAATTTGCCCAAAGTTACAAGACTAGTCTGCAGCAGGCCTGCCTGATTCCAGAGTTCCTAACCACCACAGAGCTGGCCTTGCTGTCTGTCTTAGGTACATCCCATCAACTGAAGCCCAGAGGGCTGATGTCCAACCAGTTAGTTGCAGAGCTGGGTATATTTGCACATATATTTTAAATAGAAGCTAAACTACAGAACAATTATAGTAAAATAATTATTCTGTACTAAAAAATTAATCAAACTCTGAGCTAGCCAGAAAGTAATTAGTAGATTACAACAAAAATTAAGGTGAACCTTCTAACCAAGCATGAAAAACTGAAAAGGAGAGTTACAGAGGAGGTAAATTATCAGAATCTACATCACATTGGCGAGAGGTAGATTTGATCTTAAATGCCTATTATTAATAACCATACAGATATGAGCTTCATTAGGAAAACAAATTTCCTGATCTAAATGAAATCTCCCCAAAACCATTCATTCTCTCCATGCACTGCACTACACACTCCTTTCTCTTTTATTCTGATGTCTGGTGACCAAGCAATTTTTTAACAACTAATTCAATTCCTCAAGTATATGTTTGTAAATAAGCTTTTCAATAATTAAATGAAGTATAACTTTCATTTATACATTAACAATCTTTTTTTAACAGTGTGTTAAGTGATTTTGGTTATAGTAAACCAGCTTCTCTTTTGGTAAAAAGCCAAAAAGAGCTTTTACCAAAAAAAGCATTATTCCTATGCACTGATATGTAAGGAGGTTCATTTTGCACTGTTCTAAATCTCTAGACGGCTTTTGCCTCTCCCTGCTATCCTGCTGCTACATGACACAACTTCCCTAAACTGCAGCTAGTTTAAGGGAAACTAATAATGTCCCTTCAGATATTTGAAGATTGGACAGGAAGTAAACATAAGAGGAGAACCTAGCTAATAGGAGAACAAAAGAGCTCTTGGACCTGACCAGACATTTTGGGCTGAGTAACCTCAGCAACCAGGCCGTAAGCAGCGGCTGCCAGCATGTTTAAACAACGTGCTCAGGACAGTCCGTGCTTCAAGAGAACACGTTTGTAACTATTGTATAATAGGTGCCTTCCTGGCCAGTGACTTGAGGAATCAGATCGCATGCACGTAACTAACATATTCCCTGGATGGGCCATGCCAGCTTTTCCAGAGGAAATTCATCCAAATCTCTTTTTCTGCTCCAGGAAGTTGGAAGCTCAAGGCTATACCACAAAATGCTTACTTTTTCCACATGTCTGCATGGCCTGTGTGCTCTTGCTGCTATCATGGTTCTCTTACCCCTCTCACGTATCTAGGTGTGGGGCCTCGGCTAGGGTCCTGGGCATCTATCTGCTCATGCTGTGTCCACCGTACAAAGCTGCTTCTGCAAAGAGGCTACTCCCATGTCAAAGGTCCCCACTTTTCTACTCCTGATGAGTATAACACAGAAAGCAAATTTGGACCAGTAGTTTTTTTCTCACCAACATGACATCTATCAAGACACAAAACGCATCTCATGTCCATTCTTTGGGTTTTCTACAGGAATTTAATGGTAGAAATTTCTGTTTTCATGGCTCTTGATCCAGCTGCCATGTCCCTAACATTCAGGCACTTGTCTGGAGAAAGCCAAAGTGTCACCATACTTCCAGGTACCCAGTGTCTTTCTTCTCTAGCCTTGGGTGTTGTTACCAATGCCTGCTTTCTATCCAGTTGTGGAGAACACCTTCTCCATTAGTCAAACTCCTGAGTGGATTGACAGGTAGCCTTCATGACTGTAGAGCCATGAAGGTCTTAGATCAGAGGTTCCCCATTAGTTCCAATGACCCCATTTTTGCTTCCCAAGAAACTCCTCTGTATTGAGCAAATAAACTTTCCTGGTGGACCCTGCCCATAAGCACTAGATCTCTTAAAAAATGCTGCCAATTGTGATATATCACAACTTAATACATACACGCTGGGATCCTCATGGCACTAGATAATTATATATAAAAATTCCATACCGTATCTTTTATTTTGCTGTTTCAGATAAAGGAATATTCATGATCCAAAGTGAGAGCCTCAAGAAATGCATTCAAGCAGGCAAATCTGTACTGACCTTGGAGAACTGCAAACCACCCAACAAGTACATGATGTGGAAATGGGTTTCAAACCATCGCCTTTTTAACATCGGAGGCAGCGGTTGCCTGGGCCTGAATTTATCTGATCCAGAGCAGCCATTAAGCATATACGAGTGTGATTCCACCCATGTTTCCTTGAGGTGGCGCTGTAACAGGAAGATGATCACCGGTCCACTCCAGTACATGGTGCAGGTGAAGAACAACATGCTGGTGGCCTCCTGGAAATATCTTCATAAGTGGATTTCCTACATGTCAGGTGGTGGAGGCATTTGTGAATATCTGCACAAAGGTAAAAAAAAAATTAACCAAAATACTCATGAGATGATATATTTAGAAAGTCTGCCATAAGTAAAGATTTGTAAAACATGTAAGAGAGGTACACAGCACCCAGACCCTCAAGGGACTTATGCTAAATACATTTTAATCACTTATTGTAAAAGAGTGACTGGAATCTTGGACTGGACTTGCTGAATTCTCCTAAAGAAGCAGTTCTCAGGTATCAGAGGAGGAAACACTTAACTTTGGGAATCAATGGAAAGAGGAGAAAGTATAGGCGGAGAAGAGGAAAAGAGAAAATAAAGGTGGAAAGAAAAGATCTTTGAAGTTAAAGACTTGACAAGAAGAATATGAGAACCTCTCCGGCCACCATTTCTCTGGGTGCACTCAGCCCCATGGACGTAGCATGTCTGCAGGGCACCTCAATGCCTCCAAAGCCATTGCTGGCACCCACCTGATGGTCACTTTACAAGACATTTAAAGACAGACTGTTGTCGGGGGTTATTTTGTATGTGCCAGGGAATAGAAAAGCATGTTTTTTTGTAGGAGGGAGGCTTTTCTTTTTCACAGTTCTGCAATATTTTGCATTTGTAAACAGTAAAAAAAAAAAGGAAAAGAAAAAGAGAAGAAAAGTAAGCAGCATAGTTAAATTCTGACATCCCAGACCTGTTTCTCAGATTTTATTTGTTAGTGCTCTTCATTCATTCATCCATCTATTTATCATCTATTAGACATTTATTGAGCACTGACTGTTTCTCAGGCATAGGGCCAGGCATTTGCTTTACAAAGGCCAACAGGACAGATCCAAGGCAAGACTTTCTCCTGCACCAATAAGAAATGAGCAAAAAGATGGAGCTAAAGCAAGCTATTTTTAGGACTCACTACAATGAAGCAAGTGCTTTAAACCAGCTCTTTAAATAATCTGCAATTCCAAGAAGAACATGACAGTTTGCTTTATATTAACATTTTAGCTGCACACCCACACTCACAATACATTCAGGGGAAGAGTGAGTAGAAGGCAGGGACTGAAACAAGAGGATGTGTCCGGAAATACCAGTGGTTCTTAAACAGCCTTAGCCTCTAGAGCTGGTGATGCTGGGTGAGTTCAGTCCAGCCCCTGCTAATTATGGGAAAGGGGTGAGTGTCTCCACAGCCTGCCCCTTCCCTCTAAGATCTATTGATTTTGGGGTGGCCCTGATCTCCATCACCACAGAAAGCCCTAGGTGAGTCATGAAAAGTTTTTGTCCCCCATTTAAGGCCAAGGATGACGGAGAAAGCAACCAGCAGGCCACATGGGCACTGTCTTGTCTCTAAACAGACTGTAGAGACCTCCCAGCTCATCATCCCCCTCTGTCCCCTCCTTGTGTAGGTTCTGTTTGCCACACTGCACCCCTGTGGGTCTTTAAAAATGGAAATCTGATCATGTGACTTTTTTCAGTCAAAACCCGCTAGTGACTTCCCACAATGCTCAAAGTAAAGGCCAAAGTCCATAATGGGGCAAGCGGGCCTCTTAGAGCTGATGCTCTGAACTTCCCTGATTCTCCTTCCCATTACTATCTGTGTGCTCTTCCCCATTCGTCCCATACACTGTGTTCCAAGTTCTTTGTGTTGGCTCTTCTTTCTTCCAGACAACCCTTTTCCAAATTTTTGCACCCTCCCTTTGCCCAGTCCTTATTCAGAGAGAACTTCACTAATCAACCAAAAAAAGTGCTCTATTCACACACACACACACACACACACACACACACACGCATGCATGCATGCGCGGGCGCACACAGTCATTTTGTCTTCCTACTCTATTTTGTTTTACATCATGGTACTTATCACTACCTGAAATTATATGTTTACTTGTATATTTGTTGTTGTTTTTTTTTGTCTCTCCTCACTAGAATAGAAGCTCCTTTTGAAAGGGAACTTTTGCCAGTCTGTTCACAGTTATATATCCAGTGCTGCGCACATTAAATGCTCAATAAATATTTGTGGGATGAATAAATCAATAAAGGCCTATGGAGCTCTTAAGGTTCAGATGCTGATCCCTGGTATAGGTAATATTTTAAAGTAAAATCTCCATTAAATTTTCCTTCTCATCCTTTCACATATGTGTATGCTACCATAGCAGTGCACCACAGTTAATAACCAAACAGATAAATATATAAACACACCATTTGTGAGTATGTCCTCTGAACCCAGCACACAGCTTTGCACGTTTACATTCTCTAGACAGTGAGGTCCCGAGGATTCTCTGTGCTATAGCAAAAGCTTTGCCCATTGTAGGTTTTCAATCGTTAAAATCAAGCTGGCATAATATTTATTCGACTTTGTCCTTTTCTTTTCCTAGATCTGTATACACTGAAAGGGAACGCCCACGGGATGCCATGCGTGTTCCCCTTCCAGTATAACCACCAGTGGCATCATGAATGTACCCGAGAAGGGCGGGAAGACAATTTACTGTGGTGCGCCACAACAAGCCGATATGAAAGAGACGAGAAGTGGGGATTTTGCCCAGATCCCAGTAAGAATAAAATCTTCTCTTCCCTTATGTCATGAATGAATCAAGGATGATTGGAAAGTTATCTGTATCTAAAGAAAAGCATTGGGATTGACATAGTGAAGTCTGAATAAGCACTCTGATACCATTTACCCAAACTTGATTTTGTGTTTGTTTTTGCCTTGAAAGGACAATCCTGATGTATATTCCATTTTTCCTTACACTCAAAAGATGTTAATTAGCCATTCTTCATTAAGTTTAGTGCATAAGGATGCTTTCCCCGGAATCACATTTTTTAATACTCTGTGATCTCATTAACCCCAGCTTCTGGCGAAATACTTAAAACTGCATGCATATAGAGCTCAGTTATCCTTTCAATCCACTTTCTCTTATGAGTTGCCTTAATCTCTCCAAGTCCAGACTGCTTCTCAGGCCATTGTCAAGCCCAGGCATCAGCTAGCCACTCGATGATCTTTCCGCATTATTTCTTGACAATGAGTTCTCATCTGGATTCCCTTTTCTTATTACTCAATTTCTAGGTGCAACTTTAAAATCTTCTTAACTCTTCCTACCTTGACTTTCAAGGTCCAGTGACAGATGCAATATTCTAACTTTTTTTCAGGTAGTACTTTACTGCTTTATTCTATTTATATAAAATGTTTACAATGGTTCCTAAGTATTGGGGGATATTTATATATACCTTTATTGTCCGTATTCAGTTTCCTTCACCTTGGTTCCTGCAAGTTAGAGAGGATGACTTTTACAATCTCCTCAACTTCTATGCCTACCTTCCCCTCCACATGTATAATAAAATAAAGCAAATATATTCAAAACAAAAGCAAATTGAAGAGATTAACTCCCAGGAACCTGACTGATAAGGTATCTGTAGAACTGTTTTCTAATCTAAGAGCCAGTATAGCTTAGTAAAAAAAAAAAGAGTATAGGCTTTGAAATCAGACAGACCAATATTGGAGTTTTTTCTCCTAATGATGAGATCTTTAGTCTCTGTTTCCTGCCATAAAATGGAGATTATAACAGTACTATTAGGGTTATTGAGAGGAACGAATTAGATGATGCCTCTAAGGCACTGATCTTAGTACCTGGCTCATGATAACCACACATGATGATGCTCATCATCATCAAACCTAATTTTTTTTAACAAAACTTATTTTTTTAACCAAACTTAACTTCTTACAGCATACACTTTTGAATCGATGATCCTTCCTCCTTTTTGTCTGTTAACGGCAATAAGCTAGGTAGGCATAGTGGTGAATACCAAGGGTGTTAGGACTTAAGACCATCCCTTCAAAGAACTTGGCATCTAGATGGAATATAGGACAGACAGATTTGCTCTGTGCCAGAAAATGCAGACTATATTTATAGGACACTCTAGAATCACCTGGGGCCCCCTCCCACAAACTCAGTGTGTCCAGTGTGTAGGACCCAAGCATCTGCATTTTTGACAAGTGCCCAAGGTAACGCTGCTGCAGATAGTTTTTCATCAGACAATTCAAAATATAGAGGTAATTGTACACAAAATACAAGGGTGGTATTAAGCCATTAAATGACCAATACAGTATGGGCTATTGACCTGTCCAAGTGAGGACCTTAATGCGGGCGTTAGGTGTCACACACTCCCACTGCTGGTATTAACCCCTTAGCTGCTGGGGTGGGAAAAGGTGTCTGTTGAGGGGGAGGAGTAGTGCAAGAGAGGCTAGGGCAACAAAGGGCACTCAAGGAGCTCAGGACAGCAGCTCATCAACCAGCATGAAAGTATTTCATTATTGAAAATACTGTCAGATCATCAGCCTTCTGTATCTGAATCTGAATGCATGTATGGAGGTATACATGCATGCAATCCCTACACTCCTTGGATACTGGAATTAGATGTGATTATTTGCATCATCTTCTCTTTCCATTTCCATCTCTAATAAGTGTCCTTATTAAAAATAAATACGTCAATACAAAAAAAATTAACATGTATTTCATATGACCCTAATACTAGGAACAATTTTTTTTCTTTTAACTACAGCAGTCTCCTTGAGGTTCTGCAAGAGCACCGCCAACACCCATTGTCACTTTTAGCCAGTTATGGTCTCCCAGGTGGACGCCTGGGTCTGGTGGTGCTCTGGGCTTTTCACTCTCAAGAATATCTATTTGTTCAGCTTCCTACAGCTCACAGGCTTCCTCAGCTTTATACGCTGCCAGACTCCAGCTCTCCTGACCTTTGCCACAATCAGCAGAGAGCGTGTTGATTTTGTACAGTGCTAAATTATAATACCAGTTTTCTTCCTTTCTTGTGTTTTTGGGGGTTCTTGTGTAGAGTTTGGTTTTTTTTACATAGTATTTCTGGCCAACATAACTCAAAACGATGTGTCAGAGACTGAAATTTGAAAAAGCTGATGGATAGCTCTTTCCATGGAGTCAACAGTAGATAAGGCAGAGAGGAGTGGGTGGAATAAAGATTTGTGTTTCTGTGTCTCATCTTTCTTCCATGGAATTTTTTTTTTTTTTTTTTTTTTTTTTTTAGTATCTCAATGTAAAAATGATTCTGCCTTTTTAAAAAAGTTGATTGTAAGTGAGCAAAATTTAATTTAACATTAATAAACACATACACAACCACTAGCAGTGAAGGATGAGATAAAACAGCTGTCACTATAGATCCTCAGAAACAAGGATGGCTTATAGGGATCTCTCTGGGTTTGTTTCAAGGCAATTCTGGACCATGCTAGGTCCCTCCTGGTGGCATGTCATACACAGCTGGAGAGTCATGCATAGTTGGTGTGACATATTTTTAAGATACCAACCTCTGGAATTATCTGATTGACCTTGGCACACTTGGCTGTGTATGGAGGAGGCTGGTGTGGGAAGCACAGCTTACCCCTGAGGCCAGCCAGATAAAGCCTTTGTAATTGCTTATGGTCAGGCTTGAAAAAAATTACATAGAGGTTTTTAACCAGGAGTTGAATTCCTCACTGGTAAGGACAAACTTGGAGGACAAAGTAGAAAGTGGGCTATTATTTAGGACCCCAGCTTTCTGATATGCATAGGTAAGTTAATTGCATATACAGATTTGGAAGAAAAAAATAAATAAGCATTCAGGTTGAGACATGTTATATGTGTAAATCAAGCATGTGAAAATGTGTCCTAAGCAGTTAGATATAAAGGTCTCTGTGTATTTGAAAGTGATATAGAAAGGACTTACAGGAATGGGTTAACTAGTGTATAGCATGTAAAAAATAAAAAGGAAGGGGACTCAGGGACAAATCTTAAGACCTCAACATTTAGTTTAAGTAGAACCAGCAAAGGAGACTGAGAAGGGATGGCCACAGAGGTAGAAGGGGGGCGCCCTGGGCATGTGAAGTCAAGAAAATAGAGTAAATGGCAAGGAGAGGGAGGGTGCGCAAGGGCCTGATTTGACAAGGTCTGAAAGCCCCGGGTTTGGCAATGGGGAAGACATTGATGGCCTTGAAAAAATATCCTTTAGTTGTCAGATTCAGTGGCTTAAATGTAAGTGGAAAAGCAGAAAAGGGGGGAGCACTTCCCAGTTCATTCTGTGAAGCCACTGCTACCCTGATACCAAAACTGATGAAGACATCACAAGAAAAGAAAGTTCTAGATCAATATTTTTATGAATATAGATGCAAAAAGTCTTCAGCAAAACACTAGCAAACAGAACCAAGCAACATATAAAAAGAATTGTACACTATGACCAAGTGGAATTTCTCTCAAGAATGCAAGATTGGTTTAAAATCTGAAATTAATATAACACTTATATCAATAGGATGAAAGACAAAAACTGCATGATCATCTACCAATACAGAAAATGGGACAAAATTTCACACTCCTTCATTAATTTAAAAAAAACAAATACCTAAAACAGGATGTACTCAAACTGATAACAGGGCTCTATTTAAAAGAAAAAAAAAAAAACTCCGCAACCAATATATTTAATTATAAAAGACTACTTTTCTCCTAAGGTCAGGAATAAGAATGCTCCTGGGACAATGGCAAAGCTGTGTCCTCAGGGAAGAAAAATAAGACACATTAATAGAGAAGGAGGAGTGGCTGCATCTCAGTTATAATCCATGATAGAGTCAACGCTGACAGAAATAGACTTCTATTCATTTAAAAAGAAGTGTATCTTGGGAGGGAGAAGATCACCTACTAATAACATCATGCGAAAGATTGGGTAATTTTTCATCAAATAATAGGAGATTCAGAGACATACAACACAGTCGCTTCCTCAAGGAGTTCATAATTTAGTGACAAAAGGGATCATATAAAGACAATGAAAGCTGCAAAGAAATGTACCAATATAAATCTAGCCCTTATATTCCAATTTTTCAAGATAGTTAAATGTACATGAGACACTAGCTTTCCATCTTGCATTTTCAGTGGCTTGGAAAGAGAGATTGTATAGGAAGAAGCAAAAGACCTAAGGATAAATGCATGCAAAGACGCGGGGCCAAGACGGAAGCTTGCACCAGGAGGGTTCCCAGGGAGCAGTCTCTGAGGCAGAGATTAATTAACCTGCAGGAGGTTTCTTGCGGAGTGCTCTCAGGATGGGTACACGTGGAAAGGAGGGGTAGAGTACACGGAAAGGAGGGGTAGAGTACACGACTGGCCGGATTGGAATGCAGGCCTGACTGAGTGTCTGAGGTGTTCTCAAACTGGATCTACTCCCTGTTGGGGAGAGAGGGGCCTTGTAGCCCTGCCCTGATCGGTCACATTGGTCGCCTGCATTTGGAAAGGGAGATTGACATCAGGCAAAGAGACAATTCAGCCAAGGTGATGCTTGAAGGACTCTTCATGTTGAGAGGTGTCCCCTGGCAGCTGGGGAAATAAGGCCTTCTTCAGTCTTGGAGGGAGATCGGGATAGCACATCACAGCGCCCTGGTCCAGGGTGGCATTTCCGTTCCTTTCGTTACCATAGAAGCTTCCAGTAAGACTCATGGAGTGACTAATACACAGTCCACCTAGAGAAGCAGAGAGAGGACTTTTGTCTGCCTGCACCAAAGTACAAATTCTTATATTTTAGTTAAAACCAAACCTCAGTGACAAAATGAACATGTTAGGAGAATACAACACCTGTTGAAAACATTTGACTGGAAGTTTCCTTTCAGTGAACCTGAGGAATTGGCACAGATAGTCCAAAACCAAGGGAAATCTAAGAAAATCGGGCTGTGTAATTTGCAGTACAGGTAGAATCACCAGCCACCCTCTCACGTAACTTTTTAAGGTATACAATTCAACCAAGTTACTGCAAAAGGTTGTGTCTACATAGTTCCACCTGTGTCCTTTGAAAGGACAGGACAATACTTAGCAAAAATGGGAAGATCATTTAAAGTGTCTTCCAGCCAAACCTTTTCTTATCATAACATAGCTGTGGCCTGGAGGCTTGTAATTAGGACTCATTGTCGAATCTTTCCCCAGGGCAGCGGAGGACAGACAAGTATTCCTGCCTCAATGCCAGTCCCAGATCACCCCTTCTAACAGCCTGTCCCTAACCCCCCTTCTCACTTCTTACTGTCCTTCTGAAGGCTACTCAGACCTGTCCTCCTGGGAAGTGTTTTGAATTTTTTCTTTTACGTTAGCGTTTCCCAGTGTTTGTTTCATGGACTAGGAATGTGTTTAATGCAAGTTTCTGAATCCCACTCCAGACCTCCTGATTCAGAATCTCTGAGACTGAAAACAAGGCATCTGCTTACTTGCTTGCTTGCTTGCTTGCTTGCTTTATTTATTTATTTACTTATTTGCAGGCTGAGTAATTGATTCTTATACACAGTTTAATTGTAAACACCCCCCTTTCCTCCCTCCTGACCTCAGCAGTCACAAGGGATGAATTCAGCCTGATAACACTGGAGTGTTGGCCGTCCCGGGGATGGCCTAGCATTTTAACTGAAGACAGTCTCTATGGATTCAAGCTCAGTCGGGAAATTTCAGTCACAGGACCAAGTATGAAATGTGGAATGATGTATGAAATTATGCCTGGAGATGTCCTTCCTTTCTCTTCCTTTTCTTCAGTTTTACTTGGTGATAGCTTTGTTTTCTACCCTTTTACAATTTTATATCATTCTATAAATACATGTACCAGTCAGGAAACTATACAGACCACCTTAGATTTATATGTGGCTTAATAATGTCTGGTTAACTAACTCAGGTCTAGGGAAAGCATGTTGCAAACACATGAAAACAAACATTCTGCATTCATAAGGCCATCTAACTATTATGGGAAAAAGGAAACAAAAAATTCATTGTCAAATAAGTTTGAAGCATACTGACTTAAAATTAAGCTGTGTCTTTATTATAGAACTTCTAAGAGCCTTCAAGACACTAATGTACATTATGAATTTCTCAGAGGAGGCTACACGGGCATTGTGCGCTGGGTTTTCCTGGGGAGCTCTTGAAGTTGTATTATTCTGTGGATCCCACTTGGGGAAAGCCTGTTCTAGATTTTAGCAGGTTGCCATCCATCACTTACACTCATCTGTAGCATGGGCCACATTTTCTACATTGTGAAATTCTCTGGCTGAGTTTGATTTCAGATAGTTATTATAGCTGCTTAGTTCGCCTTGGGTTTTGATTTAGACTTGTAGCAAAAGCATCCAGATTAGGTCTTCATTTTCAGTAAACTTCAGATTTCAGATCCATATTTCATACTTTATTAAATTTACTTCTAAACATACTATGCAATCATTGGTCAGTGTTTTACAAGTAGATTTTGCTTCTCTTCCTTTTAGCTGAAACAACTTTTTAAAACCATCAGTTTTCCTATTCCCAGTGTTTATTGAAAACTGTGTTCACTATAGACTCATATTTTAACTCTATCTCTTTTATTTCCCCTTAACATTTTGGTATTTGGGGAGGCAGGGAGCCTTTGAAACAACTGTTTCATCTACCTTATATTAACCTTTGAATTCACACAGCTTTCAGTATAAAGTTCTAAATGACTGCCTTTTAAAGACCTCAGATGTTATTTTCACAAATACTTCACTTCTATTCCTTTCTCTTAAAAATGGTTTCTATTATTTTCCCAGAAAGGAGCTGGGCTTCTTTATTGATAGTTTCTAGAATTTCCTTTAAATTTTGAAAGAGTGTGCCAATGGGATAACTAGGCAGATCTCATCACAGAGACCTAATCAAGAATCAGTAAAGCACTGAAGTTTTAGAGGTTCCAATTTGTAATCATTCCATTCAAATTCTTCTTAGAAATGTATTGCTGTTAGATAAAATAGGATTACAGTTAATGTTTTGATGGCTTTGTTTCCAGCATCTGCAGAGGTGGGTTGTGATGCTGTCTGGGAGAAGGATCTCAATTCACACATTTGCTACCAATTCAACCTGCTTTCTTCTCTCTCCTGGAGCGAGGCACATTCATCATGCCAGATGCAAGGAGGTGCTTTACTAAGTATTGCAGATGAGACTGAAGAAAATTTCATAAGGAGTAAGTAGGGGCCATTGAGATTGATACAATTAAAATGACTGTTAACAATTATGTCCATGTAGGCAAAGATATATTCTAAAAAAAGTTCCTTGGGAAATTTTTTTTTTAATTAACATGATCGAAACTCACACTCAGAACTTTGACTTGAACCCTGGGCCATTCCATTTGGCACCCAGTGTTCCTTACTTTCTCCTCCTTAAAGAGAAACTGAGTACCCAGCAAGGGACCCAGAGTTTTCAGCTCCAGCAAGTAAGTCTAGAGATCTTAGCCATTCATTCCCTATTAATAAATAATAAAGGCATTTATTAAGTAGAGTCTTTCGTATTACTCACTTGTGTACAGGTACATAGTAGGCCTTCTGGTGGATTCCAAAGAACTGAAAACTTAGTTGGAAAAGCAAAAACGCACACGTGGTAACTGACAGTGTAAGAGAGTAATAGACGATGTCAAAAGAACAGTGATAATGGGCTGGGTCTTGGTTTCACCTACCACCTAATCTCTCCTCGTACTTCTCCTTTAAAGATTAAATGTATTTGTATATGTGTACGTACAGCTTTTAAAAATTTTTTGGAAACATTTAACAGTGTCACAAAATTAGTCACTTTCATTAAGAGTTTCTGACATTTTTTTCAAATTTTAATGCATATGTAGTACATGTTTATTCTAGAATAATTTAAAATTTTCATGTATACAGAAAGAAAAACAAGTCTCCCATAATTCCATAATCTAGATAGAACCATGTTTTTTAACTAAAACATAAATGCATGCCTATATGCATAGTATCTCTGAAAAATGGTACTGAATAAAAGCAACCAGAGAGACGCCTGCCTGGGTTTGAATCCCACCTCTGCCACTTACTAGCAAGGCTACCCAAGCAAGTGATTTAACCTCTTTGTGCCCCAACTTCCTTCCTCTATCAAATGGAAATAATAATGCTGCCTACCTCTTGGCAGTGTCGATTACATGCTATAATGCATGTGAAGTCTTAGAAAAGTGCCTGGAACACACAACATTCAATGTGTGTTAACCATTTAACAACCACACACACAGTCTGGTAATATACTTCTTTTATTTATCTTTATATAATGAATGTCTGTCCATGTCTATAATATATATATATATAAATAGGAATAGATACAATTATATATTGTTTTTATTTATTTGCCCCGGTCATAAGCCATCCTTGCACATACCTTTGCGCATAGATCTCCAATAATTTTTCTATAAGTTTGTAGAAATAGATTCACTGGGTAGAAGCAGAAGCACATTTTAATGATTTTGAAAATCATTAATGTTTCCCAGAAAGATTTAACAAATGCATGAACAGTGCATGCCTGCTCCTTTCCCTACAGGCATGCAAAAGTGGAAAATTATCATTGAAACTGATTTGAGTTGTATTTTATAAAAACACCCATTTCCAAAATCATTGTTAGCCTGTAATGATTTTCATAGAAAATTTTGCACACCACTTATAAACGACAGTTGTTATCTGTCTTGACTCCCAGGATTTCTAATAAGAGGGTTTGGACTTACTCATCAAACTTGAATAACAATTTAAAAATACCACAATTTTTTATTTAAATACCATAATTCTATAATCAGACTTTGGGGATTGTTTAAGAAAACAAAAATCTCTTCATAAATAGGGAAACCCATTCTGATCAACGTATTTTTTGGTGACAATAGGCTACTGTTTCTTGCTAATCACTCCTGAACATTAACTATGGCATAAGGAATTATCCAAGCTGTCACAAATGCCAAGAAATATTCAAAAGAATTTAGGTTTGAGTTTGTTATTACAGAATTATAAGCCAATTTAATTTTAAAAGTAAAATAGACTGGGTACCTTTAAACACAGATTATAAATTGCACAATGAGTTTTTTATGTATATTGTTAATTATGCAGGGTTTATTCAAAAGAATTCTAAGATAAGAATAACAAATATTTAAGTATTTTTACTATTTTATTTGAAAACATCACTTGGCACTTACCTCCATATGAAATGTGAAAATGTCTCTGTCCTGTCAATCCATCTTCCACCTCGCCTCCTGGCCTTAGGATGCGATCTAATCAAATGCCATTGAAAAGACTAATCTAATCCACATCAGGAAGAGACTCTATGTTAACGCCACAGGCATTTGGAAGGACAGGGCCCATGAATATTATGCTGTTTCTGTTCAGTGTTTCCTAGGCTCTCAGAATTATAAAGCACCTTCTTCTCTTTCCTTATTGAGTTAGATTCTTCCAGTTCACCATTATATTGAAATATGCAATCACACAGAGAAAGCTGCATCCTTGTTAGAGAATGCACTGACCTCTGTAACCTGAGTGACCATATAGTGGACATCCAAACTGAGACTCTTCAGAGTAAAAGCAGCTGTGATTCATAATTATTCTGGAACTACCAACATAAACCATGAGTTTTCCAGGCAAACTGGGACATACAGTCACCCGGTTTATAACTCTTATCTGTCAGAGCCTTAGTGTCAGGCAGGACCCTGCATCTGGTGCAAAATAAATTGGGTTCCAAAGCAGAGGAACCGTAAGAAAAATGCTCTCCTTTTTTTTTCCTTTCCTCTATTTTTATTGTACTTTTTGAACAATACTCTCCTTTATAGATGAAAAGATTAAGTGGGTAAAAAAAGGTCAAATATATGATGATGGATGGAAACTAGACTTTTGATGCGATAACATAGATATCAAATTATAATGTTGTACACCTAAAATTAAATACTGTATTAACCAATGTTACCTAAATAAACAAATAAATAAGATTAAATGTCAATATTTGCAAGCATCACAAAATTAGTCACTTTTACTAAAAGTTTCTGACACTGTCTTTTTTTCCCAAAATTGTATGGTACAAGTAGTACATGTTTATTCTAGGATAATTTCTTAAATTCAGGTGCACAAAAAGTAACAAAACAAGAAAGATTTTTCTTCATTCTACAGTTTCAATAACCATATTTTTCTGCACAAATGTGTCAATGCACATGTTTATACATAACCCATAGGGCGTTGAATGAAAATATGAGGAGCTGTGGCTCAGCACTTAGGAGGAGGAGCCACAGAGTCAGCCTGACAGGAAAATTTCTCATCTGAAGTTGAAGGCTCATTTGCAATGTGCGTGGCCTTTATGTTCCAAGCTGCTGTGGATCCCTCTGGGTCCTCTGGTCACTTGGATCCAGATTCCTCAGCCTGAGTCCTGGGTCTCCAAGATGAAGTCATCAGTCACATGCAGCAAGAAAAGAAAAACTATTGGGAGCATCCCTGGACACTTCCTCCTCACCTTCTAGAGCCCTTAAGTTCACACAAATCAGATGGCCTCGAATTTGTAACCATGCACCCTTGGATGTATTGACAACCATCGAGAGGCAGCATTTGTAGATGTCTAGATTAAACACTTCACAGCTGCCATCAGTGAGCCTTTAGGAGGCTGCTGCGTTCCTCAAGATGAGGAGAGGCTGACTTTCTTACTCTGAAGCACCAGGGTGGGGTTAGTAGCATGTAAACCCTGCTCTGTCTTTGACTGGAGTTAATTTATGACTCTGTGCTCCTGAAATAGAAAAGCCAGGAAGAAGTGTAACACTGATTTTTTTTTTTTAATTCCATATTTCTGTTCATTTCAGAGCACTTAAGCAGGGAAGCAGTGGAAGTGTGGATGGGTCTGAATCAGCTGGATGAGCATGCCGGCTGGCAGTGGTCTGACAGAACACCGCTCAGCTATCTGAACTGGAACCCAGGTAGCTGCAGCATTTGATTTACCTTCAACAGGTGGCATCTTCCCTCAGCTGAAGCAACAGCTTTGCCCACACATGTACATGACATGTTATTTTGAAAGTGGCTTACAAAAACTTTTAAGCCTCACTTAATTCCTCTAAGACTCTTCCAGACAAAAAAATGGAGGCCAAGAAGACAAGCTCTGCATCTAGTCAAGGTTGCAGGAGGATGCGGCTCAGAGCCAAGATTCTAGTTGGCCATTTTTAAAATAGCCACAAATAGCAAAACATCTCTCTACTTTAAAACAGTAAAATCAGCTGTCACTGACTTTGGGAAATCATTTTCTTGTCATGCCTGGATTCAACTGCAAAATCAATAGCATAATATAACATCTTAAAGGATTTACTGCATACACCAAAGAGAAGGGCTGTCCCCTAGATGCTAAAATGACATTTCAATATATATTAAACTGACTTCTTTTGCTTCTAACATCAAACACACACACTGTATTTCAGAAATAAATTTTGACCCATTTGTTGAATATCACTGTGGAACATTTAATTCATTTATGCCAAATGCCTGGAGAAGTCGGGACTGTGAGGCCACCTTACCTTATGTATGCAAAAAATACCTGAACCACACTGCTCACAAAGAAGTTGGTAAGTATTTTCATTTTAAGTTGTTCTTATGAGTTGCTTACTTGTCCTTTCAAGGTATTCAAAGTCCACCGTTTTTGCTAATAACTCATAATTTACATTGGCTAAGTCTTGTTTTGTAATTGCTGAAATAAAAATGTGTAACAAGATAATACCTGGTATCTCAAAGACACCATGAATTTAACAAATGCATTTGAATTTTTACTGAAAACTAAAGCAAAGTAACCTAAGCATATGAAAATATTTTCTTCTTCTCTTTATAAAAAATTTGCATTCGTAGTCATTCTGCATTAGAAAAACAAAATATGCTTCCTTTTCTATTTTAGTTTTGAGTTTTATCCATAGTTGCCCTAGAAATTAAATGTAAAAAGGACTCATGGACATGGCTAACAGTGTGGTGATTGCAGTGGGGAGGGAGGTATAAGGAGACTAAATGGTAATAGGAAAAAAAATACCAAAAAAGTGTAAATTAAAAAACAGTTGTATAAAATTCTTTACTTCATTGATTTCCTATCACACACCATATCTTTTAATAACAACACATCCTCCTCCTGAAATAACATACAAAACTTTTAGGTGTAATTTAAATACTACCTAATTACAGTCTAGTACCCGGAAGGTCAGTTATTTCTGTTTTTTAGACCTATTACCTCTTTTTAGTTTCTGTGGGAATTAATGTCTTAACAATAAAAGTAGAGATAAAACAAAACATCAAAAGAATCATTACCAGCCAGAAACAACTCTAGATTTAAAATAATTAAGCTAAATTATTATTTTAAAATATTATTCCTTATAACTAAGCTTTAACTTTCCTGTTTTCCTTTAAGTAGCTAAGCCTAAGGGTATTGTATTATAGAATATGGTAGAAGGGGTGGAGGAAGCTTTGTCTTTTTTTTAGGTAGAGATTTTTCCTTTATTTCAACAACGTGCCTAAATTGCTACTGCTATACTTGCTCTTCCCCTCCCTCTCTTCCTGCCATTTTTCCTTTCTCCATTTCTTCCTTCTTCATTTTTTTTTCTTATGCCCTCTTGCACTCCCTCCTACTGCCTTTCTTTTCTTCTCCTTTATTTACTCCCCTAATCTACTAACTGAGGTCAGAGACCAAAAATGAGGGTAGTTAAACTAAGTTTGTTTAGATTAATTACTGTTGCTTCAAATTCAACACACTTTTTTGATGACCTAGTCCAGCATTTTCAAACTGTGTCAGGATCCCCAGGTTCTTTGCTTGATTCCACCTTTGCTTCAGTCAAAGAGGTTCCTGCTTTCTCTTTTTATCTTTCCTTTAGTGAAGTTTAAGGTCCCCTTTGTAAAAGAAGTTCTGTGACTCATTTTTTTAAGGTTGAAAACCACTTGGTAAGTGATATCTAAATGTCCTACATTCTTCAACTGTGATACTAATTGCTGTCAGAGTTCACGGAAGCAATTTTAAAAGAAATGGCTTGTTCCCCAAATAGGAGTCGAATGGTAACTAAATTAGGTGCTTAAGGCAGGCACTCACTTGTCATTCATCAAATAAAACAAAAATGCTGTATCACCAGATTGGGGAAGCTCCTGGAAGAGGAAAGCCAAAACTTGGCATGCACACCATTGCCTTCCCCTCCAGTTGCATCATGACAATATTATCCTTTAAATCTAACCCAGTGTTCATATGAATCTGGAGAGACACCACAGGCACTCAGACTGACCCTCAAGATGAAAGCTTTGTCATCTCTACTCTAGAGGAAGTGGCAAGAATTTCAGACTCTTTTCAGCTGAGGATAAATATCTACCCCCACATAGTGTACATAAAATATTTAATTTGTGGTCCATAATACTTTTTTTCAGTGTGAAAAGATTTTTAAAATGGAGAAGTATAACTTGAAAATTTTCTATTTAGCTCTGACTCTCAACTTTGGCTATTTGACCTTTACCAAGTCTCCTTACCTCTTTGTGCCTTACATATCACTTGGAAAATGAAGGACCAAGGTCTATTAGATCTTAGATATAGATCTGGATCATAGATTGGATCCTTCTCAACTCTGAAGATCTAGAATCCTATAATTTATGTTCTTGTTTCATATGTTTTCTGTTTTTCAAAATTTTAAAGTAATTGTACTCTGTGATGGAAATATTTATATTTATTTTTGTATTGTGTTACTCTTAATGCTTATATTAAGAGTAATGACTAATGACTCTGACTAGTGTGGCTTAGTGGGTTGGGTGTCATCCCACAAAACAAAAGGTTGCCAGTTCATTTCCCAGTCAGGACACATGCCAGGTTGCAGATTTAGTCCCTAGTTGGGGCACGTACAAAATGCAACCGATCAATGTTCCTGTCTCACATAGATGTTTCCTTACCTCTCTTTTTTCTTCTCTTCCCCTCTCTCTAAAAATAAATAAATAAAATCTTTTTAAAGAGTAATGAGTTATGTGTTTTAAATGTGAGAAATGATTTTTTTTTTTTTTGCTATTGTTATTGTTTTTGGTTTAAAAAGAAAAAGATGCTTGGAAATATTATACTACCCACTGTGAGCCTGGCTGGAATCCCCACAATCATAATTGCTATAAACTTCAGAAAGAAGGGAAGACCTGGAACGAGGCTTTGCATTCTTGCCAGTCTGCTAATAGTGCACTAATAGACATAGCTTCGTTAGCAGAGGTGGAGTTCCTTGTGACCCTCCTTGGAGATGGTGAGTGCCAAATGTCTTTGATTTAAGACATATGAAATATAATGTAGTAACAGTCTTTATCAGTGGAGTAGAAAAGAAATGAAGCTATTTAAAAGTGATTATTCATGATGCATATATCTGAGGTTTCTAAAAAATACCCCTGAAGGTAAGTTCATTGGATTGTTACAAAATACATACTCGGAAGCTTTGTAACAGCTCACATGTGCCAGGTATATTATATATGCATGCACGTGCGCACGCGCACACGCACACACTTTCAAGGGGCAAATGCCATTTCCTGAAACTTCTAATTTAAAGGGAAAAAACAAAACAAAACAAAACCCTAAACCTGTAATTTAGTTATATGGTCACTAGATGGCAGTAATGTGTTGTGGCCATGTAATGTAAGCAGTAAAGGAAATTGCTTAGACAAATAATTGGATTTAAATAACTTTAGCCGGTGAAAATTTATTTGGTGCCATGGTTTTCAAGCTTTGTGACATGTTCAGGAGTTCCAAGTTTCTAGGCCTCTGCCCGGCTTCGGTTCATCAGAGCAGATCCGCCTCTACCTGCATCATATATTTAATATAGAATTCTGCCAGGAAATATTGAAATCACTGATTCAGAGTAAATTTTAAAAAAATCTCCAGACTCTATTCTGATGACCTTTTCAAGTTAGGTTTTAGTTTAGAATGAAAACAAAACCTGCCTCTGTCATTTCTCCTCACTTTTCCCATTTGGGCTTAAAAGAACCATGTGGCTGCCTCTATCTCAACAGGGGCACTTGGACATCTGTCTTGGCCTCGCAGGGTCTTTTCGCCCTGCCCGGGCTGTCTCACCTTATTTATATTTCAGGCTATCCCATTGCTCCTATAGCCATGCTTTTAACAGTTTCTGCTCCTTTTTCCCCAAGGCAAAAAGAAAAAAAAAAGAAACATATCATAAAGCTATTTTGTGTGTATGCCCTTTTCCTAACCCAATAGACCTTCCTATTTTTTTCTTTCTCTGGGCAGAAATAAAAACAGACTTTTCAGATCTACTTTTCTTCCAGCAGCAGGAACCAGAGTCCCAGCAACCTGGCTTGTTTTTAAGCATTGTCCTGGCGTGGGCTTTTGGTCCCACTCTGCTTCACTTAGTAAGGCCTGTATCAAGCAGATCGGATAGAACTGTATAAGGGGGAAAGTATGAGCAGGTATTTTCACCAAGACTTAAACAGCTTTCATCACATTAAGAAATCACTTGCAAAGTGATATGTTTTGGTAATAGCCCTGGTATAGTATTTCCTTTGCATATAATAGAATTGCGATAAATAATTTATATTTATCTCTTACAGAAAATACATCAGAAACATGGATTGGTTTGAGCAGCAATAAAATTCCAGTTTCCTTTGAATGGTCTAATGGCTCCTCAGTCATCTATACTAATTGGCACACGCTTGAGCCCCACATTTTTCCAAATAGAAGCCAGCTGTGTGTCTCTGCAGAGCAATCTGTAAGTTTACTAGTTTGTTCAATGCTCACTTTGCTGGACTTGTATTGAGTGCTACCTGTACCAGGACTCAGGCTGTGCCAGGCACCATCCCTGCTCCTCACGGGGCTTCCATGCTAGACAGTAAGCATGTAGCCTAGAAAAAACAGGGTAATTATAGTTGTCATGATAGTTCTGAGGAAATAGCTGACATGAGGGTGACAAACTTGGGTTGGGGCAGAGAGGAGAGTCAGACAAGGCTCTCTGAAGTGATGACATTTAAGCTGGGACTTAAAGAACAACAGTAGCAACAAAACCCCCTTGAAGAGCAAAGAGACTATTCCAGACAGAGGCAGCTAGTGCAAAAGCCCAAAGGCAGGCTAAGGCTTGCCATGTTTGATAACAAAAAGACCAATATGGTGAGAAGGTGTGAATGGTGAGGGCGTGGCAGGAGATGGAGCAGGAGGAATGCAAAAAACGTGAGGCTTATGGATCCAGTATAGGAATCACTATGGAGCTTCAAGGAAATGACGTTACTGTGGCTGCTACATAGAGAACAGATTGGGGAGGGATAAAATGGCCGCAGAGAAACCAATTTGGGGGCTACCCCAGTGGCTGAATTAGTGTAATGAATGTGGAGACAAGCAGATTCCAGGATCCTCTGGAAGTCAGGAATTGATGCTAAATGAGAAGTGGGTGTAAGGGAGAGGTAAGTTTTTAGCTTGAGCAACCACCATTTTGGTGGATGGTGGTGCCATCATCTACAATGATGAAGATGAGGGGAGGAACTGAGGTGTTGAGAGATTACTCTGAGAGTGATGGTTTTTAAGCTCCTTTATCATCTTAACATAAAATGTTTTCAACAGTGTGTGCACCCTCTGAAGATTGTGATTCAATGGCAAATCTTGCTCTTTTCCTCACATGAACGTAATGGTCCCAGTAGCCATAACATCACGCTTATCCCTACTCTTTAGTCTCATTTATCTAAAACATCTGATTATACACAATTAGTTTAATCCCAAGCCATTTGAAGGGTTTATTATACGTTAGGAATAGACTTACTCTCTTTGATCAGATAGCTGCTGAACTTACTGGGATTTGGTGGGCATTCTCAGTCTTTCAAACCACCAGGATACCATATCAAGTTCCTCCAAAAAACAGCTTATCCATGTTCCTTAAATAGTTTGACAGAGTAATTGTGCCAGCCAAACATGGAATGTTTCTAAGCACTTACTTTTATGACGTCTTTTATTGTTCTATCTTTTCAGACTATCAAGGATATGTGCGGTTACAATTATAGTGGTAAAGCAGTGTCTCAGTCACATTTGAGGAAGAACAAATAATGACCTCTCTAGATGTTTGTCATGGGTCTACCTCTGCTGAAAGACACCACAATTTATTCTACAATATTTGATGCTTTGTTGGTTCATTAGTTTTGATATAACAGAGATGACCTTCATTTCCTACTGACATTCTCACATTTTATTTGACAAATGTGGACATTTCACTTCACATGTTCACAGAGCAGGAGCCAACATTTGGACACAGAGATAATTTTTAAGAGAGTAAAGACAGGTATTAATATCACTGGATGTGTCAGGACAATGCTGCTGTGTGATATTTTGTGGACCCCTTCGTCTCAGTAGCTCCTTAAACAGCAGATGTATAAAAAGCAACATTTATTCCCTTGAAGTAGACCTTAATATGAATATGATTATTATAATTAATGAGTTACCTAAGCATGGTTGAAACCTAAATTTAAATGTGAGAACCTAGGAAGTTATTTACTCAGGCATCCATCCATCCAAGAGTTGCTAAGGAACTACCGTGTGCCTTACACTGTGCGGTAACTGAGGGCTCCACGGGCAAGGTCTACAGGGCTGCTCTTAGATTGACGGCGTCCGCCTCCCACATAGCGTGATTTTTATGGTCATGGAGGGCCACCATCTTTTCCTAACACTGCAAATCGGAAATACCACAAAAAAATTGAGTTGTATGGTTTTAGCCTAACAGCCTGTTTGTGTTAAAATAAAAAAATTCTTGGTAGGACCCTTCACCACCTGCCGCAGGGTTACACGCCTCCCCAGACATCTCTCTGCGTGACCCCAACCATGCCTTCTTCTCTAGTCCATGCTTTCCCGTTTTATCCCGCTTCAAGAGCTCTGTGCCACCCTCTCGCCACCATCCCTCTGATCAGGCATGCGCCCCTTAACTCAATTTAACACCCAAGCCACCTCCGCCCCCCGCCCCCCCCCCCCCCCCCACTTTAGTCGCCGCCTTCCAAGGCCATCTCCTGCAGAGCGCTTCTGCTGGGATGAGGAACGCCCCTTCGATCCCTCCCACACTGCTCTTTGCATTGGGTCACCAGGAAGTTCAACCCCTTCGTGACCTCAGACCGCAGCAAAAAAAAAAAAAAAAAAAAAATGGGGAAGGAGGATAAAATATTAATCTGTTAGCAGCTGCATTTTCCACTTAGAAGTGGCTGAAGAGAAGAAGCAGCATTCTCACTCGGGCAGCAGAATGGCTTCATCCAAGCGGTCTGCCCCCCAGACCAGCAGGGTCAACATCGCCTGAAAATCTGTTAAAAGTGTGAATTCTCAGACCTCACCTGACTTACTGAAATGGAGCCCAGTCCCCTGTTTTATTAACCTCCTCCAGGTAACTGGTGCACACTAAACACTGAGAATCACTACTCTAACCCATCTTTTACAAAGAAACACTGAGAGCTGCTTCATGTAAAGCCAGCTAAGCCTGGTACTAAATCCTAGCTCCAATTTTTACTGGCTACAGGTTCTTATGCAAAGTATTAAACCTAGTCTTTGAAATGGGGGTAATACTGCATACCTCAGAGGAATACTGAGATAATATATGAAAGTCACTCAACATTAAGCCTGGCGCACATCAAGAAATACTTGTTGCCGCTCCCCTCCTGCCTACCAATCCAGGATCTGGATGGCATGTCCAGCAATTGTTTACATGCTAGAGAGAGAGCAGGGCCTCCCACTCATATGTAGAGAGAGAACCAATGTTTTCCAATGACAACACAAGGTCCTAACACATTCCATCCTGTAACATTATTAGTCATATTTTTATACAAAATAATTGGTGTTGCCTATCAGCATCAGTAATGGGATGTATTCATTCATCTTGTAATACTTTTCCCCTCAGGAAGGACACTGGAAAGTTAAAAATTGTGAAGAAATACTTTCTTACATTTGTAAGAGAGCAGGGCATGTCCTTTCTGACGCTCGATCAGGCTGTCAAGAGGTAAGTGCCATTAACTTTGTGATTTAGTTGCCCCTGTATAACTAGTCCCTACTTCATAACTAGAATAACTTACTCACCATCAACTTAAAGTGAACCTCTGCTGCCTTTGCTCCCTTTTCCCACCTTTCCTTTCTTCCTTCCCCCTATTGTTCCCTTCTCCATTTTTTTTTCTGAGTGTGGCCTACATTTAACAAACTAAACAATTATCGGCTAGAGTCACATGAAGAATTTACAGCTCTGCGAGGGTTTTCTTGCCAGTCTCTTTGATCTAAGACTACTTTTATTTTGATTAAAAAAACAAATTGTACTGTTATACCATCTGAACAACAATGAGTGTCATACAATGCCCTGTCTTATTGGGGTTTTCACCATTGCCCAGTGGTATGTCAGGGTGAAAGCGAATGCATTCCTGTGAGTCAGAAAATGAACTCTGCATCCAAACTCTTGCTCCCCTGGTCACTTTTCTTAAACTTCAATATCTGAATAGATACAATAAGAGAAAGAAGTGCACATTCACCATATATGAGGGAAGATCTCTCCAAAATTAAATTTATTTATAAAAATTTGTGTATTTATTCTTACATGTGTAAACTTCAGTCACCTTCCGAGTACTCTCCATTTGATGCAATACACCAATGGAAACATTTTGTCTACTGCTCAAAACAGTTTCTGAACTCGATTTTGATGCCTTTTAGTGCTTCTACCGTTTTTTGTTTCACCTCTTCCCCATCGGCAAAATGTTTCCCTTTGACTTTTTCATTCCAGAAGAAAAGAAGTTGCTCAGAGGGAGATCAGGTGACCAGGGAGGATGGGGCTCAGGGGTCATGTCGTTTTGGTCAAAAAATGCTGAACACTCACTGTGGTATGGACAGGTGTGCTAGTATATCACCCATCATGAAATGGGCAAATGCATAGGAAGAGTTTAAAAAAAAGAAATCGCTGAAGCCGAATGCAGCCTCTCACAGCAACACCAGCTCGTATGCTGATACAGATGTGCTCCTAGACCACTCACCTAGCTGGGGAAGCCTGTACTATAAGGGGTCCACCCTCCAGAAGATAATTCCAATATTTTTTGGATCTCTCCTTGAATTTATTATTTGGGAAGAGGATAATAAAAATACTTTAGTATTTTAAATAATAAAGCATTTTCAGTCTTTAAGTAATAAAAAATAATATTTAGGTTTAAACTTACAAGGTAGAAAATTATGCTTTAAATTTCTTAAAATACATTTAATATTCTGCAGTAAAGTTACCAAAAAATCTACTTATCAGTGTCCTCAACACATGCCTTCACTTCCCCCCACTATCACGTATATACATAAGAATTTGGATATAAATATTGGACATTTTTAGATTGTATGAGTATCAACATTTTCCAAAGCTGGTTTTTTATGCAGTCTTGCTCGAATTATTGCCATTTCTAATCCTATTATTTATGTTCCAGTTAAACAATATTGTATCTCTCCAGGTACTGCATTTTATTTATTAATCAATATTTAAACTACAAATCTTCATACTCTCACTGAACAATGCACATGTTGTAGCTCATGTTACCGAACATTTTATCTAATAATTATAATTCTTGAATCAGTTATAACTGATCAGTAATCTAGTCTCTATCTAAGCAGAAATATCGAAAAAAAATTTTCTCAGCATGTCTTTTGAGGCAACTCAACATGTTTTGTGTTGAAAGGGCAATTAACATTTTACACAGCAGAAACAGAACTGATGTTCTATTCAGACTTTGTACACTGGTTCCCTTTTCTGGCCAGCACTACCAGTATTTAAAGATTGAGTTCAAACCCAGTTCTCTAATTTTATCACAAAATTCCCATTTTGTCTATGGATCATCTGTCTATGAGTATGGTTTCAAAAGATTCCTTTCTTTTAGCTAACTGCTTCAATGTAAATCTATAAACAGTCTGTACATACAAATTAATTTATAAAATAAGTCTTGATAATTTCAGAGCAAATAAAAAGATTTATTTTTCTCTCTGAGTCACTTTTTTTAATTTAAGTTCCTCATAGTTTCTCTGTAGTTTTTGGTAATTCTCTCTGAGCTCACTGAGCTCATTGAGCTTCCTTATAACCATTGTTTGGAACTCAATATCTGATAGTTTGCTTGCCTCTATTTCATTTAGTTCTCTTTCTGGGTATTCCTCCTGTCCCTTCAAGTGGGAGGGCATTTCTTTGTCTTCCCATTATTTGTGAGACTCTTCTTTTTTGTTTCTGCTTCTTAAATTGATCTGTCTTTATTTCCTGACTTTGTGGTATGAACTTCTATGGTAGGAGACTGCTGTTTTTACTTTCTGGTTCTGCCTCTGCTGTCAGATGTCCCTGTCTGACCTTAGGCAGTCTGTTGAAGACTTTCAGGAATCTACTGTCTGTGGCTGTCTTCTTCAACTGTTAATATTGTCACTCTGCACTCAGCAGGCCGGCTTAGACAACTCAGGGCAGAGTCCCTCCTGGGAGTGTGGTTATTGGGTTCTCTCATGCTGTTGCCACTCACGGGAGCAGTCTCTTCCTGAGCAAGATGGCTGCTGCCATATGGGAGGGAAGTCAGCACTGGGATCCCACTGGCTACTCTTTCTGTTCTCTCCCCAAAGCCTCCCATTCCATTCTCTCCTCAAGTGTATCTAGACCACTTTGCACCCCCTTTGGCGGGGGATCTACTATCTGTGGCTGCCACTCTGCACTTAGCAGGTGACTTAGACAGCACAGGGCGGGGTGGAATCCCACCTGCGGGTGGGGCTTTTGGGTCCTCTGATGCTGCTGCCACTCAGGGGAGTGGTCTGCCTGAGCAAGATGGCTGCTGCTGCATGGGGAATGAGTCAGCACCAAGACCCCGCAGGCTACTCTCTGAGTTCTCTCCCCAAAGCCTCCTTCCCCAGTCTCTCCTCAGGCTCTCTAGCCCATTCTGACCTCGCCTTTTCTGGAGACCAGAGTAAGTGGCTGCAAATAAAAATTTATGTGTTGGCCCTTTAAACAGCTCTTTGCATCTCTAGCCACCTGTCTCTGGCAGAGAGAAACCCTGCTGCTTTTCACAACTGGCTATTTTCTGTGTACTTTTTGGGCTTTGGTGCTGTAGGGTGGAGATCCCCACTTTCTGTTTAGACCCTGTTTTTCTCAGGGGGATCCAACTGGCTGTTTCAATATCTTTCTTGTGCTGCCACCCATGGCACGCTACCCACCTTCTTGAGTCTCTACTGCACTCCCTACCAGTTAGGTTGTGCTAAAGCTGATTCTTCTGTCTTTCTGAGGTTATAAGACTCCTTTCTCGCTATTGTTCAGTTGTTTGTTTCAGGTGATTTCTCCACAATTTAGTTGTAATTCCAGGTTGGTCCTGGGAGGAGGTCAGTGTGACTTCTACTCACTCCTCCGCCATCTTGATTCTCTCTCTTGAGTCACTTTTTGGGGGATTGCATACTATGAGCAATTATTTAAGTATTGTCCTCATCATTTCATCTAAAATGAAATGGCACTTCATGTACAAAGGTAATTCATGGTTATAATCAATTACTCTTTCTACTTTCATTATGTGTGCAAAGATTTATTGTAAAATTCTGTGTGTTTCTGGTTATTACTATGTCACAATTTCTTGAGCCTGTTCAGTTCTTGGATTTTTTGTTTTCCTAAGTAACCTGTGACCTAAAAATTACTAATGAAGAAAGAATACTTCATCAGAAATGTCAAATGGTTAGCTTTCTTCACCTGTCCTTTCAAATACAAAAATAGTCTAACCCCCCTGCTTTGTCTGGGGTGATCCACGGAGGGGCTATGGCTGGAGCTCTCAGTGTCTCACGCACATAAGGTTGGGGGTCAGTTTTAATGTTAAGGGAGTGACTTCAGAGTACATGCTGGCTGGCTGGATGTGGGACTCCTGAAATCCACACCTCATTTAAAAATATATTTTGAACTAAAATAGCTGATTTCTAAAATAAGGTTTTATTCAATTTACTACAAGACCAAGAATATAGCAAAAATCATTTTATAGCTCATCAAATTCCGAGAAGCATTGTCATGGCACAAAATGAAGTGTATTTTAAAATTGATGAATATGTAAAAATAGGTACAAGTCATGTGATTTTTTTCATGTTGAAAGAAAAAGAACTAAAATAACTCAGTTGAAATACAAAAGGCTAATGAAGGTATGTCTTCTATACCATGTGATTTTAAAGAACAGAGCACGCTTCATTGCTGCCAGGGCTGATCCGTGGACCACATATGTGTCATTTTTGTCTGAGTGCCAGAGCTTGCTTGCTTTCTCTCTAAAAGGCTAACCATTTGATTTAGAAAAAAATCTTTACCAGAAATATATATATTCTGGCCAATCTCTATTTGGATATATTATGATCCATGCAAGACTATCTAAGCTGCACCCTTATTTGGTTCCAGGTCAGCTTATTTATGAGTCTGTGGCCTTATCCCTGTCCTTAACCTCAGTGAATCTCAGTGGAATAATGTAAAATAAGCAGTATGAAAGTTGGAAGATTATACACTATAATCTAGATACCTGCGTCCTCTTCGCTCATGCTGAGTCCCCATCTGTATTTGGAGGTCTCTGCCTGCCCTGTTTCCTTTGATTCTCACAACAGCCCCAAGGATACTATTATTACCCAGTTTTACAGAGGAGAAAACTAAGACATGGAGAGATTACATAAGGTCACATAGGGGTAAAGCCAGGATTCAAACCCAAGCAGCGTGTCTTCAGAGGAAACACTCTTAATTTCTACCAGCCTGTAAGAACCATTTGGATGAAATTCTGTATGTTTCAATTCTCTCCCTCTCTCTCCCTGTATGTGTAAGAAAGAGAGAGAGAGAGAGATCTTGAGAAAGTGCCCATTTATTTTCATTTGCTTTTAAGGTTTTAGGTTTTAAGAATTAAATAAATCTAGATGTGGTTGTAGCTAATAGCATTACCAGATAGAGTCAATACAAAGATATCAAGATGAAATTCAAGATTTAAGTTTTGAGTGGGTCAGACAAGAAAGTAAGGTAAGTGGTAAATGAGAATATAGGGGGAAAAAAAGATCTTACTTAATCAGATTATGTCCTTAACTTTCTTTTTTCTTTTTAGGGATGGGAGAGACATGGTGGGTTCTGTTATAAAATTGACACGGTCCTTCGAAACTTTGACCATGCCTCCAATGGTTATTACTGTCCTCCTGCCCTTGTTACCATTACAAACAGGTAAAATAGAAATTTTCTATCAGAAACATGACTGTGCTTTGACGTGTGGGCTCTTGGAATGACAAAAATCTAACCATAATCAGTAACTCTTCAAAATCTAAAGTGTACTATAGCGTATTAAATTATTTAAATTATTGAATAAGATGAATTTGAATTGTACAATGTTATTCCTAAATTGATTTTTGAGTAACAAATAGTAAAATTTAAGGTGACTTTTACTTCCATAAAGACTTATTAATTATGTAACTTTGCTAATATATTCAGTTATATTTAGATTTTTATCTTCTAAGTGTTTGTAATCGGGAAGAAATATGTTATTTAATATTACCTTTTTAAAAATTTAATGTGCATACATCATGTTTTGTTATTTTTTAGAATAAAAGTAAGTGTAACTGAACTGTGAAGGTTTCAAATAGTCAAATGCTTCCCCACTGCTTCTTAGGTCTATGTTTAGAGTTAGACTTCTCAGTGCAGAGTGTCTTCTCAATGCTAGCAGAGGAGCTCTGCCCTTTTGACACGCCATACAATTCAAAGCATGCTACTGATGTGCAATAGAAGGTCAATGCACCAAAAGCTGAAATGACCCCAGTGTCACTATCATATCAGGAGGACAGTGAGGGCTGTGAGACTGACTCCTCCCTGCTGAAGACAGAAGCAAGACAGAACTCTTTCACAGTTCCATGGGAAAACTATAGCTGCAAAGCAAATCACTTGCTTATGTTACTGAGGCCGTTGCCTTTAAAAATACCCACGAATACCGAGAAACAGAACAATGGTGCTATGGTTTCATGTCTAGAGACCCTTTGCATGTAGGTCTAACCTACAGGAGGGACTCCGTGTGCTTTCTCTGCTCCCCCCACATAGGGAGTCAATATTCAAAACCAGTATTTCCTTCTCCCTTACCTTCTTGATTTCTTACCCTCTTTCCCGTTTGTCCTCCAAATAATGCATAGAAGTTCATACATGTAAGTGAGTACACACATACACCCAGGAATAAATGGACAACATTTGGCAAAATAAACTGCCAGGTGAAACATTCTATGCTTAGGAGTCCCTTCCTTGGGAGTATAGCTCTACTTCTGATGTAGCTAGTGTTGTCTTTCTAGTGTTGTAGAGTTCTATTGTTCTCCTTCCCAGAATAACTACCAGGCAGGGAAAAAACCTTTATCCTTAATTTGTTAATCCACCCAAGAGGTTTCAAGAACCTTGGGTTGGAAGTCTTCCAATCAATGAGTCAACGTGGGACTTTATTTAGGAGCCTGAACAATGAAATTATGCTCTTTTGTTAATTATTTTTTAATTAATTATGTTTTCCCTGGTGAAAATAAGTCTGTTTCACCTTTTTTAAACGTCTTATTCTTTCCTTTCTTTTTTGTTTGTGTGTGTGTGTTTACTGTTCATTGAGTGCCTGTCACATACCCGTTACTGTGTTAATTACTTTTCATATGATAACTGATTTTGTAAAAATTCAATAGTCAGGATTTTATTAGAAAGTTATTTATTGAACACCTACTTTGTGAGGAGCATCATATTAGCATGTTGTAACAAGAGAAATAAAAGGCATAGTGTGATTGTCCAGATGCTACTTTCAGGCCAGCAGCTAAAGAAATAGAAAATAGATATATAAAACAAGAAAAGAAGGTAGAATAACACAAAAAATGGATAAACTCAAAGTGACATTACACATAACCCATAGTGCCAAAATTACCCCAGGTAAGGCAGAAATCTGTTAGAGTTCAAATGCTTCATTTTCTAAACACCTTTGGGGACTTCATGCAAATGATAGAAAGTGTTTAGTAAAAAAAATTACACTTCCATTTCCCCCAAAACTGGATATGAGTATGCTACGAATATGTTTTTTTGATTAACTGTGTTCAGTAGCCAACACGAATGTGTGGTCCAACTGTAAAGCAGAATTATGGCATAGGTAGGTTTGTTTTTGTCCCAGCCTCGACCTCCCAGGCCCACCCAGGTGACCTTGTGCGGTCATGCTAATCAGTCACCCTCCAGGCCCCCGAGTTCCCTCCAGTGATGCATCTGTCCCAGGCAGGTAACATACATGTGCCCGGCCCTGCAAACATGCTTACATCCAAAACAGTGGCCACAACACAGGACATGCTAGTTGAGGGAAGGAAGAAGAGCCCCATTTTTATTCCATTCAAACCCCAACAGCTAAGAAATAAAGACTTACATCGTATTGCTCTTGGGTGACAGTACACATTTAAACATTTTTCAACAGCATCTTCTGTCTGAGAAAGTTGGGCAGTAGATGGGAAGACCCCTCAGACCTAGGAGTGTCCACTAGCAGCCCTGGTAATCATTCTCTTCCCTTACTGACTTCCCTTTCCGTTACAACACTCCTGTCACTCACCAGCACCCAAGCTTGTAGTTGCTAATTGATTTTCCACTCTTCTGCACAGTTGAGCGACAGGTTTGATAGGCACAATTAGAACCACCTGCTACAAATTACTTATTTCTTTTGTTATCCTGAAACTGCTCCTTGTCTAGAACTTTTAACACTTTGTGGAATGGGAAAGAAAGAAAAAACCCAGAGCCTTATTGCTGAATAACAGAATTTTATTTGCTTGCTCACTGTTACCAAGTTCTTTCCAGCCTGGCCTCTTTGCTTCCAGACAGGATGAATGCCAAGCTTTAGTTCCAAAGTTACCACGGATGGTTGGCTAAATGCATGTATATCTAAATCTTGAATCAATTAGCTATGGGCTTTGTGGTACAAAATAATCCAAATGCCATTCAATTTTGTGAATTTTGCCAAAAGTGAGAAATCCTGCAATATCTCCTTTTTGGTTTTTTAATATGTATTTTATTGATTATGCTATTACAATTGTCTCATTTTTTTCCTCCCCTTTATTCCCTTCCACCCTACGCCACCCTACACCATCCTACCTCCCAGTATTCCCCCCTCCCCCCTCTCCACTTAGTTCATGTCCATGGGTTGTACATTTAAGTTCTTTGGCTCCTCAATGTCCTATACTATTCTTAACCTCCCCCTGCCTATTTTGTACCTACTGTTTATGCTGCTTATTTCCTGTACCTTTTCCCCCATTCTTCCCCCTCCCCCACCCCTCTGTTTTACTGTTCATAGTTTTTTATCTCCTTTTTCTTAGGTAAGTCCCTTTAACATTTCATATAATAAGGGCTTGGTGATGATGAACTCTTTTAGCTTGACCTTATCTGGGAAGCACTTTATCTGCCCTTCCATTCTAAATGATAGCTTTGCTGGATAAAGTAATCTTGGCTGTAGGTCCTTGCTTTTCATGACTTTAAAAACTTCTTGCCAGCCCCTTTCTTGCCGGTAAAGACTTTAAAAGGTCATCTGCTCTATCAACACCTCTAGTGTTTGAAACCAAATAAGGTATTAAAGAATATAAAATGTTCTCTTGTCTCTTTATCAGTTGGAAATAGACACTCAAGAGATTGCATGCTATTATACAGAGTTAATTTCTTAGAATATATGGTTTAGAAGAAAGATATGTTTGCTGAATTTCTTTATTAACAATGCCATCTTCTTGCCCTGACTGGTGTGGCTCACTGGGTTGGGCATTGTTCTGCTAAGTGAAAGGTCAACAGTTCGATTGCTGGTCAGGTCACATGCTTGGGTTGTGGGTTTGGTCCCCGGATAGGGAGTGTTCAGGAGGCAACCAATCAATGTTTCTCTCTCACATCAATGTTTCTCTCCTTCTCTTATTCCCTCCCTTCCCCTCTGTCTAAAAATAAATAATGTGTTGGCCAGAAAATTCACCTAGTTTTTTCCATAAGATGGCTCTAGTAGTGCTTAGCTCTCTTTAACTTCATTTGAAACCATTTTGTTGGAATGTATTGTGACAGCTGTCATATCAGGGTGCATTTAAAAGAAAACTTACCGCCCTACCTGGTATGGCTCAGTGGACTGAGCGCCGGCCTGTGAACCAAAGGGTCACTGGTTTAATTCACAGTGTAGGGCACATGTCTGGATTGTAGGCCAGGTCCCCAGTAGGGGGTGTGTAATAAGCAACCACACATTGATGTTTCTCTCTCTTCCTCCCTGCCTTCCCCTCTCTAAAATAAATAAGTAAAACCTTAAAAAAAGAAAAGAAAACATCAAAATTGGTGAATTTTTGTGTAGCCATTTTATTATTGAAGATGAAAGAAAATACACAAAAATTTCTGGATATCATTCTTATTTCAAGAAGAGTGAAAACATAACTGAAAGGCAAAACAAGATTTATGCAGTGTGTAGAGAAGGTGCTGTGACTGACTCAATGTGTCAAAAGGTTTGCGAAGTGTCATGCTGGAGTTTTCTCTTTGGACCATGCTCCATGGTTGGGTAGACCAGTTGAAGATGATAGCGATCAAATCGAGACATTAATTGAGAATATTCAACATTATACCACATGGGAGATAGCTGACATACTCAAAATATCCAAATCAATAAAGCTATTGGTGAAAATGAAAATGGCCAACCCAATAAATAAAATCTTTTTAAAAAAAAAATGCCATCTTCTAAACTGGACTGAGAAAACTAAAGTACTGTTTTGATTTGAAGGTTTTAGGTTTTACTATATGAGTGTTATATGCAACTTCTTAAAAGATATATTTACCAATTAAAAAGTAGAAAGTTTCTATTGTTTTAAGCAATAATAAATGGAGATAAGATAGCAAATTAGAGTGGACTAAGTAAATCTAAAACCAACAAGGGACAAAAGCAAAATAGTGTATGAATAATCCTACTAGAGTCCAAGTTCACAGACAATATTATTTCTCTCACTTTTCTGATGAATGCTGTAGTACAAGGTAATGGAAGATCCAGCAATGCCCCTTGGGTTTTTAGAACCAGCACACTGAATGGCGGGCCTAGCCATAGCCTTTGTGGTGCAGTGCCTTGCTGACCTCCTTAGCACAGCAATTTCAGGCACTAGGCATGTTAATGATGCTACTCTGCCTCAGATGGGAGAAGATCACGAGAGCATGAACCTATTGAAGTATAAGGAAAATTACAACAGAATCTAGACAGTATTTAGCTTTATCTACCTTCCTTTTAGAGTACATTTACATAAGGCTCTGCCACTGCGATCTGGTAAAAAAAAAAGAACTTTTTAAATTTCAAATATGAGCTAGTCAGACTATTAATAGAAGTACATGCAGAAGACATTTACTAAAGCATGATGAAAATGCATATGCTCTGCAAAGATGAGGATCATGGACAGCTAAGACCACTACTTGTTGCTAGTGATGTTCATAAGGCAATTTAAAATTTTACTCCTTTGTGTTCGTTTCTCTTTCCTTCCCTTATTTCCATCAAGACTCCTCTATTCTTTAATGACCCTGTTGCTTTTGCTTCCCTTTGCAAGTTAGGGATGGATGATAATGAAAAAATCCAAAATTAGATGAAAAAGCCTAATTTGCTTTCTCGTTACATTTCCTGGGTAATTTCATCAGACCTTCCCTTTCCCACTGACTCTGCAAGTTCTTGCCAAAAATCACCGCTGTTTGAAATGTTTCTTCAAAACTTTACACTGAAAATAAATTTTTCTAGTTTCCAACTTAGCTTAAAATTTCAATGTTAGTTAAATTTTAATATGCTTTTTGTTTAAGTAGTCCTGTGAAAGCACATGTACACATTTTCTCGATTCTGCTTCTGGGGCATTTGTGTTGGGAAGGGAACATTTCCGCCAATCAGTGAACACTAACTCATTCAGTTTAGAGAAAATGTTACCGGGTGTATTTTCTTAGGTTTATTCCTAGGGTTTTAAATTTATCTTCAGTGAATTTGCACATCTGAATTTGTTTGAATAAGTCAATGACTCCATGTCAAGTCACTGACTCCATGTGCCTGTGAACAAACTGCTTTGGGAGACAAAATTGCTATTTCTATCTCTGTTTCGTTCTCACCAGGCAAGTGTGGAGAGTGGGTGCTTGTGAATTCTGTTGGCAGATGCTCATTCAGAAAAGCATAATATCCATTCTTCCTCCCTCTACCAAACCCCCACCTCGTGCACATTATGGGATGATGTGTGCTGTGTGCCCTGATTGCAAAATAGGGCATATGTTGTACCAAAAATGTACTGTTGCTGGCTTTCTGGATTTTACCACCTATACTTCACAACTGGAGCAAACTCTATTCTTTTAAAGAATTAAGCCCTGTCTGTAAGAGGCATACTTGCCTCACTCATGTATTTCTGGGACTTGCACTGACATTTCACATTTATTAGTAATGTTCAGGATTGTTGGGTATTTTCCTGCTCTCTTCTAAAGACTTCTTGAGAAATGTTTATTCTGGTGCCATTCTGTGCATCTATTATGTTTTAATAACATTTTTATTGCCCAGAAGTTAACTATAAACTTTTCCTTTTTACCCTTTTAAGGTTTGAACAGGCTTTTATTACCAGTTTGATCAGTAGTGTGGTAAAAACAAAGGACAGTTATTTTTGGATAGCTCTCCAAGATCAAAATGACACAGGAGAATACACTTGGAAGACAGCAGGGCAGAAATCAGAGCCGGTGCTGTACACACACTGGAATGCACATCAGCCCCGTGAGTAGAGGGGCCTGGGATATCACCATTCCCTCCTGCTTTATTTGCTCCAAGTTCCTTCTCTACCTTGGTCTACCTCCTTTGATTCTTCCTTAATGTTTTCTTAATGTATAGATCAACTAAATGATTATCACAGGTTCTCAGGGGGTGACATATGACTGGTCATTTTTAAAAGTATAATCCATATAAGTCAATTGACATGTTCAAGGTATAAATTTATTGCTCAAGACCACACATGCCTTTACTAGCAGAAGTCCAATCTGTCCCACTCAAATTCTTTCCAAGAATCCCAGGGGTTTACTCAGTCAAGAATAGTTCCTGATACTTCACAGTGAATGGGCCCAGTAAATGGGCACATGTGGACACATTTAATCAGTTCTCAGTCACTGCTATGTGACTTGCTGAGGAATATTGACCCATCATTTAGGTAACATTCTCCTTAGTTCATCTCCTCCATGGACTTCTGTCGTACCTTAGCAGGATTCCAGAGTTACAGCTCTATTAGTTCATTCTTGTCTGCTCAGCTCTGGATCCCAAAGCATGAAATTGTGCCAGGTTAACCAGTTTCAGAGAAGCTAAGGGCTCTAGCCACAACATACACTAGAACCAGCCCCTGTGGAACGAGGCTTAACCCCTTGTATTAAGCTTAAGTTACCAACCTAGGCTCAACACGCTTTTATGTTAACATGGACTCCTATTTGAGTGACTTAGTCTCATTCTTGCCTGTGGATCTCAATTTGCGCTATTCCAATAGACAATAGGCAGTAGCAGGCTACCTCTAAATTTGTATCCGGAGGAAATGGGATAGGGGCCTCATCAGGCTCTTCCCTGATGAAAAATAGATATTATTATAACAATAATAATTTACATCAAATATTAGTCAAAGGTCTAAATATACTAGTTAAAAACAGGTTTTCAGAATGAGTCAAAAAACAAGACTCAACTGTCTGTTGTCTACAAGAAACCCACTTTAAATATAAAGACACATATAAATTAAAAGAGATGACAGAATGTTAACATTAATCAGAAGACAGCAAGAATAGCTGTATTAATTTCAGACATAACAGACTTCAGAACAAGGAAAGCTTTCACCAATAAAAAAGGACATTATGTAATGATAAAAAAGTCAGTATTCTAAAATATAACAATCCCTAATGTGTATAGACCTAACAATAGAGTGACAAAATACATGAGGGAAAACTGATGGAACTGCAAAGAGAAACAGATATATCTACAATTATAGTTAAACACTTTAACACTCCTCTATCAAAAATGGACAGATCCAGCAGATAGGAAAATCAGTAAGACAAAGTTGAACTCAACTGCACCATCAATCAACTAGATATAACTGACATCTGTAGATTATTTCATCCATCAACAACAGATTATACATTCCTCTCAAGCTCACATGGAACACTCACCAAGGTAGATCACATTCTGGGGCATAAAACACACCTTACCAAATTAAAAAAAAAAAAAGTCATACACTTTCTGCTCTCAGACCACACTGGTATTAAACTACAAAGTAATAATAGCAAAACAGCTGGAAAATCCCCAAATACTTGGAGATTAAACAATACACATCTAAATAACACATGGGTCAAAAAAGAAATTTTAAAATATTTTAAACTAAATGAAAATAAAAATAAAATTTACCATAGTTTGTGAGATGCAGAGAAAGCAATGTTTAAAGGGAATTTTTTAGCACTGAATGCCTATATTAGAAAAGAATTATCTAAAAACAATAATCTAAACTTCCACCTTAGGAAACCAGGAAAAGAAGGGCAGATTAGTCCTGGCTCAGTGGCTCAGTTGGTTGGAGAATCCTCCCATGTGCCAAGGGGATTACAGGTCTGAACCACAGTCAGGAGGCAATCAGTTGATGTCTCCTCTCCCCTCCCTTCCACTCCCCTCCTCTCCTCTCTACTCCTCTTCTCTCCTCTCTCTCTAAAATCAATAAAAATACATGTCCTAGAGTGAGGATTTTGAAAAAGAGCAAATTAAATACAAAGTAAGCAGAAAAAAGAAATAATAACTATTAGAGCTTAAATTCAATCAATGAAATTGAAACCAGGAAATCATTAAAACCAAAAGCTGATTCTTTGAAAATATTAATGATATTGATAAGTCTCTAGTCGGGTTCACTAAGTGAAAAGAGAGAAGTTGCAAATATAATAAATGAAAGAGGAGACATCACTACAGATCCCATGGACATTAAAAAGATAATAAGGGAATATTACATACAGGTCAGACCTTATACCCTTTACAAAAATTAACTCAAAATGGGTCATAGACCTAAATATAAAGTGCAAAGCTATAACACTCCCAAGTGGAAAACATAATGAAAAACCTAGATGACCTTGGGTATAGCAAGGACTTTTTAAACACAACACTAAAGGCACAATCCATGAAATAAATAATTGATGAGCTGTACTTCATTAAAACTGTAAACTTCTGTACTGAGAAAAACAGTACCAAGAGAATGAGAAGACAAGCCACAGACTAGGAGAAAATATTTGCCAAAACCATATCTGATAGAAAACTATTACCCAAAATATACAAAGAACTCTTAAAACTCAGCAAGAAAATGAAGAACCCACTTTAAAAATGGACAAAAGACCTAAAACAAAGAAGATATATAGATAGCAAGTAAACATATGAAAATACGTTTAACATCATATTTCATTAGAAAATTGCAAATCAAAACAACGGGATATTACTACAAACCTATTAGTATGGCCAAAATCCAAAATACTGACAATGCCAAATGCTGATTGAGGATGTGTGCAACAGGAACATCTCATGCATTTCTAGTAGGAATGCAAAATGGTACAGCCACTTTCAAAGACAGTTTGCCAGTTTCTTATAGAACTAAGCACTCACATTTCTTAGTATTTACCCAAATGAATTGTAAACACATTCACACAAAAACCCATACATGGATTTTGCAAAAGTTTTACCCAAACTGGTAAGCAATCAAGATATCCTTTAATAGGTGAGTGGATGAATAAACTGCAGTATGTCTGGACAATGGAATGTTAGACAGTGCTAAAAAAGAAATGCACTGTCAAACCATGAAAGGACAGGAAGGAAACTTAAATGCATATTACTAAGTGAAAAAAAGCTAATATGAGAAAGCTACATACTGTGTGTTTTCAACCGGATGACATTCTGCAAAAAGCATAGGCGTGGGGACAGCATAAAGATGAGTGGTTCACAGAGGTTAATGGGCAGGGACGGAATAGGCAGAGCACAGAGGGTTTTTCAGGCAGTGACATTTTCTATCAATACATGATACTACAATGGTGGATAAATGTCTTCATACATTTGTCCCAACCTGTAGAATGTTCAACACCGATAATGAATCCTCATTTAAACAGTGAACTTTTGGTGATAATGATGTGTAAATGCAGGTTCATGGATTTTAACAAATGTACCACTGTGGTATGGGATGTCAGTAGTGGGCGAAGTTTTGTCTATATGGGGCAAGGGTTATAAAGTCTGTACTTTGCACTCTATTTTCCTGTGAACCGAAATGCTCTAAAATATGTAGCTTATTATTGCTTTTAAAAAACTGTACTTTTTGACCTGGCTCGTGTGCCTCAGTTGGTTGGATCATTGTCCCATAACAGAAAGATTGTGGGTCCAATTCCTGGTCAGGGCACATACTCAGGTTGCAGGTTCAATTTCTGGTCCAGGCCCAAACTATCCCCGATCTGGGCGTGTACAGGAGGCAGCTGATCGATGCTTCTCTTTTGCATTGATGTGTCTCTCGCCCTTCCTCTCTCCTTTCCTCTCTCTCTGAAAGCAATGAAATAGTGTCCTTAGGTGAGGATTGTTTTTTTAAAAACCGTACTTTTTAAGAATGTACACCAGATAAAGTTAAGACAAGATTTTTTTTGTCTGTATAAGCATCAGTTTAGAAAATTTATATAGTAAGTGGTGACTTTGCATAGCTCTAAATAAATATCCCAGTTCACTCAATAAAGATCTATGAATATTATTAAAATGCAGAGAATAGTAAAGTTCCATGTCACACTCTTACTGAAAAAATAAAAAAGCTCAGGTATCATTTCTAATATACTTTGGAATTTAGTTAAGAATGTCTATACCTGTCAAAATAAATTAATACATTTTGAGTAGACAGAATTCTTAGTTTTTAATGTTACCTTCCTTGGGGCATATTTGGATGTCTAAAATCTGGAGCTGAAGCAGAGCTCCTTGTCATTCATAAGTTTCTGCTGTAATTTGAGTGACATTACTCTTTCTCTCTTTTCCCTGAAGCAAAAATAATACCGTGATGCTCAGTTTGGCTGCTCATGCAGATTGACATTGAGTAAATTGTCTCTGAATAAGATGAAAATGTAAATCTTTGGGGGAAGAAAATAGCAATATAAAAGCCCCTGTGTTTCCTTTTTTCTTTTAAATCACAGCTTGCAGATACACCGTTCTAAATCACTTTTTTTCTTCCTGCCTGTCACACCTACACAGAAAATATCCATTAGCTTAGTCCCCATATCAGAATCTTAATCCAGCCTAGACTGACCACATAAATTGACCCCTGAACAGGAAGCCTGCAGTTTTTTGGGTTGTTTTTTATTTTTTAAACACACACACACACTTTATTTATTTAATTTTAGACAGAAGGGAAGGGGAGGAGAAAGAGAGGTAGGTAGAGAAACATCAATGTGTGGTTGCCTCTCAAGCACCCCCGACTGGGAACCTGGCCTGCATCCCAGGCACGTGCCCCGACTGGGAATTGAACTAGTGACCCTTTGTTCACAGGCTGGCACTCAATCCACTGAGCCTCACCAGCCAGGGCTACAGTTTTGTTTTGTTTTTTTAAATAAACTCAGCCAAGACTCTCTTTTATGTCAGATTATCAAAATAGTCCTTCTGTAGTGGAATCATGGTTCTGCCATTTTTTTCAACTCTGTTATGCTCTCCAGATAGTAAAATGAACCACTATATACCCATCACTTGATGTTATCAATTATCAG